TGTCGGTTGCCTCCCAGAAGGCTCCGCGGCGCACCATAGCTCTTGCCCGGAGCGATGACACACACACACGCAGCGGAGGAATTTTTCGGCGTCGGGAAAAAGAAATCCGAGTTCGTCGGCTCGGGAAAAAAAAAAATGAAATAAAAAAGCTGTCTGGTGGCTTTTTTCACGTCTTTGCCCCAGCGGTCTCGACGCTCGGGTCACGGGGCGGTGCGGGTGTGTGGGCGTGCGGGAGGGGGCAAAAGTGGGCGTGCGTGCGGGTACGTGGGCGGGGGTGCGGGTGTATGGGCGGGCGTGCGGGCGGGCATGTGGGCGGGAGTAAGGGCGGGCGTGTGGGTGTATGGGCGGGGGTAAGGGAGGTTGTGTGGGCGGGTGTGTGGGCGTGCGGGAGGGGGCAAGGGCGGGCGGCAGCGAGGAGGAAGGAGTGTAGCGGGAGAGGGAGGTGGGGGCGGGGGCGCTCATCGGAAACTGATAAGGTTTATCTTGGGCATCGCTCGAGTCTGAATGAATGAGATGTTTGTGCTCGGATAAATGTAGGTTACGTTTTCTGTTGCACTTGATTTGTTGCATTTGTTGAAGGGCTGGCGGAGGTGAGACTGCAACAACTTAACCGCATCATTTTAACGACTGCAACTTACAACAACAATGTCTGTCGTTGTGCATCAGAGGAAAGAATTATGAGGCTTCACCACCAAGTCTCGCAATCACAAACTAAACAACTTGATAATAAACAGATTCCATAGTATGAATTGTTATTCTAGAAATTAACAAATCCTTAATAATTGGGAAATATAAACAAACAGACAAACAAGCACCAAAATGGTTTTATTGAAGGTTGAGACAACATTTTCAGAAACAAACCTAAATATGGAATCAACGAGAAATTCGAAACTGTTTCATCTTTAACGAACCTACGAGAATATACTTATTATATTTACTAAGTTGGAAAGATGTACGCACCTAAATCATTAACCTGGGAATATTATAAAAACATTTTCCATTATATCTTTTAGACCCTTATAATTAAGCACCCTTCTACCATAGCTCAAATTAATGATAATAAAAATCGCATTTTCGACAGGGGGGGTGGGGGGTGGGGGGTCAAAAGCTTCCGTTCTCTCCTTTACAACAAATGCCGATTTTTTTTCCCTCTCTCTCTCTCTTGCACGAATTCTCACAGAAATCGAATATCTGGATCACGCGAGACCGGAAGATATAATCCTTTTCAGAATATAAAGTGCTTTAGAATATATACATATGTGTTCTAATATAAAGTGCTGAAAATATAAAAATAATAGAAATTAATTAGTGACCCTCGTTTGGAAATGAGCTCAGTCAAGGGGAAGAGATTATTACTAGGCTTAGCGTGCAGCGAAATGGTTCAGGAAAATGAAAACCATTAGTTTCCATTATCATTACTGTATCATTATGAAAATTACTCTTATTGCCATTATTACTATTATTAGTAATATTTTCCTCTTCTTCTTCTTCTTCTTCTTCTTCTTATCATTATTATTATTATTTTTATTATTATTATTATTATTATTATTATTATTATTATTATTATTATTATTATTATTATCATTATTATTATTATTACTATTATTTTAATAATTACTATCATCATTAGTAATTATTAATTATTTATTAGTAGTAGTATAAGTACTAGTAGTATTAATTGTTATATTCTTGTTATCATTATTATTAGTATTTTTATAGTTATAGTATTTATTGTCATTATTACTATTACTATTATTACCATTATTATCATTGTTATTGTCATACTATTGTCATTATTATTATTATCATCATTATTTTTATGATTATCACTATTATCATTATTACCATTATAATTATCATTCTACTACTACTACTACTACTAATTATTATTATTATTATTATTATTATTATTATTATTATTATTATTATTACTATTATTATTATTATTATCATTATTATCATTATTATCATTAATATCATTATTATTATTACTATTATAATGATAATAATAATAATGATAACACTATCATTTGCTAAATATACTGTTACAACCATTTTTGCTGTTTTCATTCAATAAATTATTATTATCATTGCAAAGAATTACCGTAATTTATTATCATTATAACTACACCATCACTGATGCGGCTGTGACAGTAATTACGGTCATTATTAAAATGCGCAAATTCCTTTCAGCCTCAACATTATCAAATTCCTATTACGAACGCCATTATCGCCAAGAAAAAAAGTAAAAAAAAAAACGGAAACAGAAAAAAGTCATCGTTCCTTGTCAATGACACAAGAAACAAATACAAAATTAAACCCATTGCAATGAAGACTGAGTTCTCTGGCGCACAGTTTGCTGACGAAAATGATTAAAAAAGAGTCGCCATATCTGCCCCAGCGACAAGACAAACACAGACACTTCGCACATTCACACAGACACGAGACCCGAGCAGCTGCAAGGTAAATAAAAGTGTTTCAGTGAGAACCTTTTCCTCAG